CCTCACCTGGGAACCTGTTAGAAAAGCAGGTTTTCAGACCTTACCTGAGACCTGCTGAATCAGCAGTTCTGGGGGTGGGACCCTAGGGCGTGTGTTTAACAAACTTGTCCAGGTGACACTGATGCCTGCTCTCTCGGGGAACCACAGGTCTGGGTCCTGTGCAGCTATGGTGGCCAGAGAGGAGGCGGGGGACATGCTGCAAAGAGGTTATTATAAAGTGAGGTGCACTGAAGCACAGGCTCAGACAGATGCAGCCACCTTCAAATCCAGGCTCTGCTGATGCCTTACCATGTGCTCTTGGGAAGGTCACTTTTAAAATTAATGCATATTTATGGAAACCTACTCTTTACTGTTGAAGGCCCTGGGGCTGCACTGCTGGGAGCAAACAATGGCAATAGCCAACATCTTTTCCTATAGTCACTCATTTAACCCCTACAAGAAATCTTTAGGAACGGTTCTCCCACTACCCACACCTGGGCAAGTGAGGCACAGGTGGGCGAAGCTACCTGTCCCACCACTAAGTCCGAGGCTGTGCTGGGGTTTAGCCATTGAAGTGCTTTTGGAGCCAGGCACTGGGCCACGGGGCTGCACTGAGCTGTGGCAGGGTAAGGGGAGAACAAAATGCAATAAAGACGCACAATACTGGCAGGTCATGAACATGCTTTGAAGACAAAATAACATAAGGAAGTGGGTAGAGTGCATTGCAGCGGGACTCTAGGATAACTTTTCTACAGATGCTGGATCAAGAGAACAAAGTCTAGGCCCCTTCCTGGGGCAGACGAAACTGCCTAGTGTTTAGGTGGTATAAGGGTGACTTTCTGGCAGGGCCTCTCTGAGCAGGTGACCTATCAACTGAGACCTCACTCTAAGGCAGCTTTCTTACCTGTAAAATGAATTATTAGCACCCCCTCCCAGGTGAGGTGTGAATATGTCCCATGAACATGTCTATGAAACATAGTAGATACTGAACAAATAAGAACTGTTGTTAATTCCTATTTAGAACTGAGTTCCAACTGGCTTGGCCCCTCCCTAGCTGTGTGTCCCCAGCAAGTGACTCTATCACTCTGAAATTTGGTTTCTGCAGCTATGACATGGCTGGTGGAAGTTCTGGTGATAACCCACAGAAAGGTCAAAGAACAGAGCTGGGGCACAGTAAGGACCCTCCCACCTCCTGCGCCCACCCTGCTTTCTCTCCGAGCTGTCAGCAGTTCCTCTCCGGGACTGTTGCTTCCCTGGTCCAGGACGCCCAGGCGTCCTTGCTGTTTTTATTTTTATTGTTCTGGCTCCAAAGCTGAGGCCTCTCACTCCAAATGGTTCCTCTTGCCCAGAAAAATAGGTCATTGGCAGCTCCAGCCTCCTGACAGGCCCACACAAAGGCGGCCTGGAGGGCTGACTGCTGACGCCAGCCCAGGGTTACGGGAAGTCAGGAGCAGCGCCCGAGCGGGGCTGGTGCCAGGCCGAGCTGGGTCCCTGCAGGTTCCTGCGTGCCCTGGCACAGCGGCCCTGGTCCAGTCGCTTTCTCCTTCTGGCCTTGCTTCCCCAGCTCTGGGAACACACTGGCATTGCTGAGGCTTCAGTGAGACGACGCATATAGAAGGGCCCAGCGCACACAGCAGCGCCATCACCCCACCTGTGGAGGCAAACCCCAGATATGCTCCACTATGGTTGCGTTCACACCCGTGCCAGTCCTGCCCCTGGGATCAGGGAGACTGGGTTATTCCCATTTCACAGATGAAGAGACTGAGGCTCATGAGAAAGTTTTCCCCAAGTCACATAGGTCAAATCAGCAGAGTCTTGGTTTTCACTGCCTCTGGTGCCCCCCTCCTCTTCATTCCTGTGTTCTTTCCAGAAGGGAAGGGACATAATCTGACTCCTATAAAAAGAGCCCTCTGGCTGCTGAGTGAAGAATAGATGGATTAAAAGGGGGCGGGGAGCAAAGACAGAAAGCGGGTGCCCAGGTGGGAGATGGTGGAGGCTTAGACCAGGGTCGTGGCACCCACGGAGGTGCTAAGAATTGCTTTGGTTCTGGATGCGAAGGGAAGGCCCAGCCAGTGAGATGTGCTGCTGGCAGATGGGAGTGACAGAGACCAGTCCAGGGATGCAGGGATGGAGCCGCTTCCGGCTTCCCTATGGGGATCGTTCAGATAGTCACTCGAATATCACCTCCTCTGAGGCCTTCACTGACCCCCTTCCTTCCCATTGGCCCTCCTGGGCCCTCCACTGCTTTATTTCCCCTTAGAGCTTTATCCCCACCTGACAGACCAAATATTTTATGTATTTAATTGTTATTTGAATTGACTACAATGTCAATTCCCTGGGGCAGGAGTTTTTGTCTGTTTTTTCACCAATCCGTGGCCTCCCCATTGCCTAGCACAGGGCCTGGCACATGGTAGATGTGTAATCAATATGGCTGAGTGCACGAATGAATTGGATAGGTATGAAGGCAATTCAGTTTTAATCCAGGGCAGCCCAGAAGGCCTCCTCTGGGGGTGGCTGAGTCACCTCAATTATCTGCCATAACCTCACTGTGTGACCTCAAATAAATTGTCTCCCAACCTCAGGATACCTGGCTGCCCATTGGTCTCAATGACCCCCCCCCCCAACCCTCATGGTTGGCTGAGAGTGACTTTTCTATGGATGCTGGATCAGGTCAATGTCTAGGCCCCCTCCTGGGGCAGATGAAACTGCCTAGTGTTGGGAAGCCCTGCTGGGTGCCTTTGCTGGAGGTACTATATATAAATAGCAGGTGGTTCAATTATTATCCTCCCTAATCCGAAGTTTCCTAATCCAGGGCAGGCTTGTATGTGTGTATGCGTGTGTGCACGTGCGTCCTGGGGAATGGTGAATGGCAGAACCTCTGGAAGCTCAGGCCAAGAGTCTGCCTCATCGCTGACCTTCATCAGTGGCCCCTGCCCCCACCCACCCCAGATGAATTCCAGTGATGGATTTTCCCAGGAGTCTTAGCTGGTCACCTTCGTGGTCTCTGCCAGATGTGTCCTGAAGAGTTAGAGACTCCCTATCTCCCACTGCAGCTACTAGGAGGACCCCAGCACAACCTCCTCACTGGCACCCTAATTCCATGTTCCACTCCCTGCAGCCCACTCTCCACCTGCAGCCAGATTGGCCTTTTAAACACATGACTCAGACCACAGCGCTCTCCTACTTAACCCCTCCAGTGATTTCCTATCTGCGGAGTAAATGCATTTGTTATGAAGGCCTGCAAGGCCACCCAGCTAGACCACTCTTCTCCATCCTTCACTCATTGCCCTCCAACCAAACTGGCCCCAGGGCCTTTATCTGTGCTATTCTCTCTAGAGCAACAAATCCCCAAATCCTCAGCTTGCTGCCCCTTCTTGTGATTCAGCTCCCAGCTTCTCAGGAAGGCCTTACCCTTATCTAAATGAGTGCATCCTTCTCACTCTCTGAGCTCCATCTTCTGTTGTTCATGAATTATTTCTACTTGTCTACGTAGCTGCCTCTCCAGTAGAATGTAAATGCCTCATGGACAGGGACATTGTGTGTGGCCTGGTTGTATCCCTCATACTCACAGGAAAAAAAATACCCTTGCACTTCAAATACTGCCCAGAACCCTGTGGGCTCTCAAGGCCTGCTGTCAAGCACTTTACTTATTTATAAAATGCTATGTAGCACTTGGGACATGCTAGGCACTATTTAAAGTGTTGTACAAATATTAATTCATCCAATACTCACACCAGCCTTTTTAGATTGACACCCAAGTTGGCCTCATTTCAGATGAGAAAGCTGAAGCACAGATAGGATAAAGTATTTTCCCAAATCTTCACAGCTCATAAGAGGTAGCTGGCAGGATTTGAACCCAGGGAGTCTGGCTCATGCCCTCAAAAGCTGTACTCGGCCTGTCTCTCTCTTGGCACAAGACCAGGACCAGGCATCTGACAGGAGGCTGAGATGGGAATGGGGATTGTCACTTTGCAAAGGTCCTTATTTACCCCGGGAATCAGGAACTCAAACCTTGTTTCTACCCCTGGCCTTGCTGTGTGGCCTTAGACAAGTCCACTTGGTTTCTGGGTCAGGACTCTCTTTTGCTGCTTCATTCCTACCCTTTAACCAACAGTCTTGCCAAGCAAAATTGGTTATCGCTTATTTCCAAGCCCCAAACCCTCCAATTAGCAGAGAATCTTGGACTCCTTCCCCTCTCACAGTCCGGAGCCACCTTTGCCAGGTGACCCAGCACTCCCTCTTCCTATCACTGACCTGGCTGCTACAGGGAACACAGCTTAGCTTCAAGGAAAGGGAGAGAGAACGAGGGAGAGGGAGAGGGAGAGGGGGGTCAGGGGAGGGGACAGAAAGACAGAGAGACATAGAGGTACTGGGGCTCTGTCCTCTGTCTCCAAGCCTCTTGCCTCCGGGCCCCTTTTGCTCTCCTATTCTTTGCCAGACATTTCCTGGAGACCTAGACCTCAAGTCCCCTCTCTCCTCTGGCCCCTGAATCTGCCACCCCTGACAGGGAGGCACGTGGCAGCGAGAACCCACCTCCCCAAGAAAGTGGGGACCCTTCCCCTCTAGCTTTCTGGCCACAGCCCCCCTTCGCGCTTTCTCCACCCTGCGCCTCTTTTCCAGGCGGCACTGAAGTCCTTCCTACACACACGCTATTTTTGTACCATCACTCTCTCCTTCCTCCCCCCTTCCCCCTACATCCACTTACTTCCTGCTTTTCCTTCACCTAGGCCCAGCTCTGAAAGAATCAGGGTCCCTCTGGCCCAAGCCTACCCCCTCCAGGGGCCTTCTTCTCTGGGGCACCGGGGCAGGGCCACTTGGGAAGGGGCAAAGCAGACACCCCCGTCCGCCCTCCACACCCCACTCCTTCGCCGCCTCCAGCCTCTCGCCAGAGGGAAGCGGAGACTGGCCACGGCGGGAGTCGGGAGGCAGGGGCCGTCGGCCGCAACTTCCCCAGTCCACCTTAAGAGGACGGTGTAGCCCGCTCGCGGCGCCGACCTTAGAAAAACAAGTTTGCGCAAAGTGGAGCGGGGGCCCGGCCCTGGGCAGCCCGGGCGGTGCTTCCACGAAGCCTTTCAGCCCTCGCTGGCGACGCAGGTCCGAGCCCGGCTGGCAGTGGGAGGGGAACAGGAGAGGGGGCGGTTCGGGGCTGGTGACAGCCGCGCGGGCTTCTGAACTGGCACATTGTTGGAGGCGGAGGCTGGTCTAGTCCCGAGCCCGAGCCGGGTGCGCCGCGCGCGGGCTGGCGAGCCGCCTCCCGGGGCTGCTGCCGCGGGCCCGGGCGGGGGTGGGTGCCGCGGCCGCGGCGCGGGCGAGGGGCGACGCCGGCCTCCCGGCCCGGCGAAGAACAGCAGCCCTCACTCCCTCCCTCGGGCGCGCTGCTGGTGGGTGTTCGCCGAGAAGGTGCCGGCGCGGCCGGAGCCCCGCAGCCCCCGCGCGGGCAGAAGAAAGGAGGGGGGCCGAGAGGAGGGAGGGTGCCGCGGCCGGGCGGGCGGGGGCCGCGGACGGGACTGCGGCCCGGAGTCGGGCGAGCCGCGGGCGCCGCCAGGAGTCCGGGCGGGGCAGGTGGGTAGCGGCGGGGGCGGCTGGTCGAGCTGCCCTGGACCCTGGCTCGAGAGCCTCCTCTCTCCCGCGCTGCCTGTCTCGATCTGCGCGCCGCCTCGCGCACTCTCTCTTCTCTCTTCCCTCTTCCCTCTTCCCTCTCTCTCTCTCTCTCTCTTTCTCTTTCTCTCTCTCCCCCCCTACCCCCACTCCCTCCCCCCCCTCGCCTCCTCTCCCCTCCCCTCATCCCCCCCAACCCGCCACTCTTCTCTCTCATTCTCCCCCTCTCTCGCCTCCCTGGGTCCCTGGCTCTCTGCCTGGCTACCCCGGGTCTGTTTCCCTCTCCTGCCGCCTGTCTCTGGCCGCCCCGGGCTTGCTTTCTCGCGCGCTCGGGGTCTGGCAGTCTGTCGATCTCTCCCTTGGGGGCGGGGGGGGGGGGCTCCGAAAATCGCGGCGGTGACGGCGGCCCCTGAGCAGCTCCAGGCGCCCATTCCGGGGAGGGAGGGGGAAGCCCGGCCCGGAGAGGAGGGGAGGGCGGGGAGGGGGAGGACGGGGGGTGGGGGCTTAGTCATTTCCCCGCTCCAGCCCGCGCCCGCCTGAGCGCGCACTCACGGCCGCTCTCCCTCCTCGCTCCGCAGCCGCGGCCCATGGAGCCCGCCGGCCCGGCCCCCGGCCGCCTCGGGCCGCTGCTCTGCCTGCTGCTGATCGCTGCGTCCTGCACCTGTACAGGTAAGCACCCCTACAACCCGCACCGCTGCTGTCCCCAAACTGCGGGCTCAGGCCTCTCAGACGGTCACTGGGAGCCACTCGGCTGTTAGCTCTAATAGGGGTAAAGATGCCTGTAACCAGGGTTACAGATTAGAAAACTGAGGCCAAGAGAGGGCCAGCGACTTGCCCAAGGTCACACAGCCAGGGCTGGAACCTTGTCTCTCCCTACTCTGTGCACCACTGTGCTGGGCACTGGGACATACCCAGATGAGTTGCTTCACCTGGCCCCTGCCCAACTGGGCGGGGGCGTCAGCAGCTTTCAGAGCTGGGCACCCCTGGCTTCTTTAGAAGCTCTCTGGCTGGACTGGTGCTTTCCACAGGTTTGATGTCAGGGTCTGAGGGAAGGGGGTGGAGCAGAGGTCTTCCAGGTACTACCTGGGATGGCACAGAAACAGGCTGTTGCAATCAGGGAAGAGTGAGCATTTCCCTCTGGTGCGCAGAGTAAAACAGCGTTAGTGTGTGTGTATCTGGAGAAAGAAGGCCGTTGTAACCCTGGGGTGAGCTGCTGTGATCAACAGATCCTGATATGACAACACGGTGGATTGTCCCTGTGGTTGCCAAAGCCTCTCACTGGATGGCCCTTCTCCTTGTTGTCCCCCGCCCCCCCGCCCCCCCCCCCCCCCCCATCTTCCTGCCTTCCCCAGGCTGCCAGGCAGCTCCCTGCAGTTCAAGGGTTTTGTGGGGCTATTACCTGTGGCTCTGAGCAGGTCTTGTTGTTGGCCTACATCAAACACCTGGCTGTCTCCCGCAAGCAGGCTCTGAAGGCTGGCATGTGTTCACCAAGGGGTGAGGTCACCATTCAGGAGTTCTGCTGCTTAAAGAGGTTTTGCAAAAGCACCAGTCTCCTGGGAGAGTGAGGGGGACAGAGAAATGGCATTAGAGTGTCGGGGTAGGGGGGAAGAAATGGTCTTGATTTTTGGCTTCTTGAAGCTGCGTTATTGGCAGAGGGGGTCTCTGCACCTCCCTGCCTTGAGAAAAGAAGCAAAGATGAGCTCAGTATCCATCTCCCCCCTTTTGCATTTGCCTAGAGACTGGTAACCATCTGAAAGCAGTGAGAAAGGGAGAACTAGCAAAGAGTGGGTGGAGGTAGAAGTGGGGGTAAACAGCTGCTCCTCTCTGCCCTGCAGTCTCCCCTGAACCCTGGGATCCACGTAGGTATCCCCACCTCCACTCCAGGGTCTTTCCTTACGGTTGGGTTCTTGCTGGGCGGAAGGAAGCATTGGTATATTTCATATCTCTGGTGAGTGGCGTCTGATCTGCTCCTTCCTGCCTGAGCCGGCCATGCACACCCTGCAAAGTCCCAGTCCCTGCCCTGCCATCCTTCCTGGCCTGGAAATGCATGAGAGTCTCTCACATGTGTTCAGTTTTCCTAAAGCAGAGAACTGGGCCCAAGTTAATCTCTAAATGTCTGTTCCAGACCCTTCTCCAGCTAGGACCCTGTGGTTCAGTTTCTGGCAAATGAGCAGTAACACTGGTTAACAAGTGTTCAGATGGACAGCCTGGCTTTCCCAGGGTTGGCTGGGAACACCACCGCCCTTCTTGTGGGAGAATCTCTCCCTTTTGTCTATAAAAACAATCTATAAAATGGAAAAGATTAGGCCATAAAACTTCCGTTCCAATCCATTCAGCATCAATAGCCTGAAAAAGTGGGAGCAGCAGAGGGGCCAAGATTAACTTTGAAATAAATAAATCTTAGGAGGTGAGAATAAATTTCCTGGCTGAGGGTGGTGGAGAACGGATGGGATGTCGCTGTCCTAGGTGAAGCCTCCCAGCATCCTTCACTCCAAGATCTGCCGGGTCCTGATCACACTCTGGGCCCTGGCCTGGAATTCACCTGGTTTGTCTGAAGGATGAGGCTTCGGGCCCCTCCCTCAGTTGATCTAAGCATGAAATATGACAAAACCGAACGGAGAGGCAGGACAGAGGGCAGAAAGGTAGAAGGAGGAGGTTGTGCAGCAATTTTCCAAGAAAATGGATTTGTCTGAGTAAGAAACTCAAATGTCAGGCTTAGGAAGGCGGCTCTGGATTGAATGGCTACTAGTGTCTCAGGCAAAACCGTCAGCCTGGGAGGTGTCACATGATTGCTGTGACTTCACATGATCACTGTTTGGAGGGGGCTGCTCATGGGTATTAGGTTGTTTGGGGAAGGCAGAGGAATAAGTTTCTAAAGATTGCTTTCAGCACAAATGCTGCCAAAGGGAAATTCTAAAAAGATGCCAGTGAAGTCACCAACCTGGATTCTTAGAACCATTGTGAAGCTTGTATCTTAAAACAACTTCACTGAGGGAGATTCTGAGACTGGGAGGAGGGCAGGGGATGGGGACTTGGGTGCACTTGGGCAGACTGATTCTATAGCAGCAGCAGCATGGGAAACGGAACCTGCTAGCTCCTGTCTTGGTCTTGCCTACGGCTTGGGATGTCACTTACTGGGCTGACCTCAGATGAGCTTCCATTCACTCCTTGCTCCGGCCAGGAGAAGGCAAGGCAAAGTTGGGGTCACACTTTGGGGGACAGTGTGAGGCTGGGCCCTCTGGTGAAGCTCTGACCTTTTGATAGAGAGTGACATGCCGAAGCTTCCTCCGTACTTTCCTAAGAGGGGAAGCTAATCTCACTTCCTCTTTCACAAGAAGAGAAGGGGGGGTGCTTTAGCCCTCTTGGGCTCAGGCTACTGGAAGGTCCTTAAAAGCACGTGTTCTTTGGGTACTTCTGCCCATTAATTATTCCTTTGCCAACCCTGTGGAGACTCAGGGTGTGATCCATCCCACGACTGGCAGTCGCTCAGCACGAATGAAGTCCTGATGTGAACCATGTTTAGAGAAGCGAGGAGACCCAAAGTTCTTTGAATGTTAACTCTGCTCCAAGCTGTGTGCTGACTGCCTTATCTGCGTAATCTCATCAGTCAGCCAACAAAGGCGAAGTTGGCTGTTATCCCCACTTAGCAGATCAGGAAAACAGAGCCCAAAACTGGAGAAGTAACTCGTCCAAGAGAGGGAGACTGGATTTTGAATCCCGGCTTCCTGGCCATTCCCTCTGAAGGAGCACGTTCATGGATCTAATCAGTGTTACTTAGTCCAAGCTGGAGGGAGCGAGAGGAGCCCTCTCCAGGCTTACATGGGAGTTTGTGGAAAGGTTCCTTCTGGAGCAGAAGTTTTTAACTGAGTCACAGTCGTTTCTCTGAAAATACACTGACGATGGAAACACTGACAGCCCCTTGGCCCTCACAAATGACAACTCATGGGAGCGAAGTGACTCCCGTCAGAGCCCCCCATCTGGGCTGCCGAGCTCTGGAGCCCCCAGAGCTGGAACATTCCTCCGTGCATCTCCCTGCCTCGTGCCCTTTGCAACAGATGGAGAGGGGGTGTGTGAGAGGAAGGCAGTCTAAAAGTGTTGTAAAGATCCCTCACTCACTTGCTGCTTCCAATGGCGCCGTGTGACAGGTTATTTTTTTATTTGTGATCTTGGACTGAGGGAAGGTTTCCCCCCAGCCCCTTCTTGTTAAATGTGCTCGGATCTCTGGCCTGCCAATGCAACTCAGATTACTCAACACTGTTGAGTGCGTCCAACTTTCTTCTTAAAAAAAATCTGTCCCCAGGTGACGGGCCTTATTTCTCAGCCACATGCTGTCCAAAGGGCTGACCTATTTGAGATGCTGCAAGGTAACCAGGCTTCCTTTCTGTGGGCCAAAGCTTTCCGGGCTGCTCGAGCACCTTAGCACCCACAAGACCTTGAGAAATCCTGCAGTTGTAGAATCCCCATTCAGACCCTATTTACTCCCATGCAAACATGTGAATAAGAGGCGTTTGGTTTGTATAACACCCATCAGCCTGGCCTCACCCAGTTTGGGGAATGCTTTCCTACAAATCCATACCTTTAGCTAAACTCAAATATGTGCCTTGGCTTACATGGCTCCTGCCATGAGGGATGCCCTTCCCTGCACCTCCTTATCCTCTCACGTCCAAATCTTGCTCCTCTTTCACAGTTCAGTTTGTGCTGCCTCATCTCCACGGGATCTCTTCCCTCTCTGAGCATTGCCCCAGGATTTCATCTGCCCGTCTGAGGCTACGCATTGCTTCCTCCTTGTTTTCTCATCCTGTGCCTGCGTGTTTAACTCTAGCACCTGCTTAGCATGGTGGTCCTGCAACCGTGGCGACCATTTAATTTAGCCCCTCCATGTAGAGACGCAGCTAGCCTGGTGCTGAGTCACAGGCTGGGAACCAGATCCCTGGGGGTGAATCCAGCAGAACTATCTGCTCGGACAGCTTACTGGACTCTGCATCTTGGTTTGTTCATCTGTAAAACAAAAATGACATCAACAACTCTGTTTCAAGGATGAAGTCAGTCACTGTATAGGTAATGCCAGAGGCCATGCCTGGCACGTTGTTAGTGCTCAGCTCATACAAGCCCGTGTTGTAATCATCAGTTTTGTTTTACTTAGATTTTTTCATCCATAAAAGCAGGGTGCACTCTTGTAAAGCACCTAGCACAGCTCCTTGCACAGAGTGGGTACGCATAAAACAACAAAGCTGATTAAGGAGTGAATGTCTTCAGCCTGAGGTTTTTCCCTGTAGCTTTTATGCCAGCGGGGGATGGACACGTTCAGCAGAAACCCAAGCTGTGTGATTTAATTGTCTGTTAGTAGGACTGAGCGCAGTGGGCGCCGCTTGCCTCTAGGTGTCTCTGTCTCCATCCACAGGCCTGGAATTGTAGGTTCCCAGACCTGGGAAGCTGTAGGGGGCCTGAGAGAGCTGTCAGTCCTCCCCTCCAGCACCTCCCTGTGCTGTGAGAACACTGCAGCGGGGAGGGAAGGGTTGGCGGCCCGCACAGCAGATCCGTGGCAACGTGCAGGTGGGACGCCAAGCCAAGCCCCCTGTCGTTCAGGCCAAGGGCTTTTAAAACTGGAGTGTGCTAAAAGTTTCCATCGTTAAAGCTAGAGATCTGACAGGATCCCAGATTCCATGGGA